CCAGAAGGAATCTTACTCGCGGCGCACATCAATAGACTTTCCCTAGCAAAGGTGCCGCCGTTGATGAACGTTTCATCAAAATATACTCAAATGTTCCTCCGAAAGGGAACTCCTTCCGACTACTCTTACCGTCTTCAGAAATGACTTAACCTGATACCATCGGTCCAGCTCATGGAGGCTCACCTCAATCGCCAGCCTGAAGCTGCTGCATAATTTCTTCAATGGGGCAGCGTGTGGATAACCTAACAAAGACAGTGGCTCTGACTGTGGAAACCTCTTACAACAAAAGTTTCAGATAACGTCGTAATGGTACAGGATCCGTCGACGGCTCCGTTGAACTCGACTCGTGCACCAGTCCTCGTGACAGAATCTTCTGATGTTGGGAGTGTCAGGTCACTATGGAGTTTTTCCGATGGATGGGAATGTGCTCTTCAATCTTCAATTGGGAGCAGTCAGTATGAATTCAATGAAATGTGGTCATTTTAGCTTTAGACATGAAGAAAAATGTCTTCTTTTAATTGCCCCTTCCCTGTGTTGGTGGAACTGTAAGCTCGAAGGAACTCCTGAGCCACTGAGTACTGAAAATTTCTCAACTTTTGAGAGAAATCATTGAGAAAATCTTTTGGTCTTCCCTCCCCCCCCCTCCCTCCTCCTCCTGAAGGCACACTTGCATGAGTCATGCTTGATTTCGTCTGCTCATCTCCCATAAAACCCATCGATTAGTAGCTAAAGAGGGGAATGGTAGGATACACAGGCGAGGAGCGTCAGGATGATGTCTTGGACACTTTCTCTTCGGACGTAGGCACAAAAAGTGCAACACTACTCTAAAGAATGATTAGTATGTGAGAGTGTAGGATTACTGCAGTGAGGCGCAATCAGTGAGTGCACTTGTGTAGAAAGCTCACTTACTCAATTGCCCTCTATTTCTTTTTTTCATCAGGGTACTATATCCCAGCCGCTAGCTCACTACGATTTTGAAGAGACATAGGGAGCATGGCGCATCCCAAAAAATTATTGATCAACGCCGACTGCTTCAGACGATTCGATTGCTCTCGTTCACCATGGTAGTGCACTTGTTTATCTAGATTTGCTCCAACGTACATTGGAGAGGCATTGGGCTTTTTCCCACGGCAGGAAACCGGGTAAAGATGGGGCCGTATACGTTCTACGTCCCTCTTGCATGAGCTCACAGTGTTGCCACAGCCTTCTGTGCCGATTTTCCGCTCCTCTCTCTCGAACTTCCCATCCTTTTCACCCCTTCGGTCAGAGTTTTGTCCCTTGTTAGAAGTATGCTCCATGTCCGGTCTTCTTGAAACCTGGGCATTCCGATTATGTCTTGCTTCTGTTTAGCCTTCCAGGTTTGTTATGGTGGAACACTTTATTGGTCGACGTTTCGAACAAATCGTCGTTTTCAAGACCTAAAAATTGGTTCGAAGCTCTAGTTTGTAGCCTATCCGCTTACACCCCACTAGTACCAAATGTTATTGTTTTTTGTAATCACGGAATCATGAAATGCGGAACATTAAATGCTAATTGTTGCCAGTAAAGAAAATGACACAACTGGAAACGTCCTGAGCAGGGTTCTTATTTTTTTGGGCGACAGGAAAGTCTGATATATAAACAATTCAAGAGACACTGTGGTATGAGATGAGAGAACGACTCACGGAGAGGAGAGAGGATAACGGTTGAAGAGACGACAGATACTGTAACGGTGGGCGTGCGTGGTTGCTTGAAGTATCCAAGGTGACAAGTTCTCAGCTCCTAGCGCCATTTCTTCGCGTTTTGAGTCGCAAAGTGGCCACACCTCTGGGGTGTTGACCCGACCACTTTTGTTGGCTTAAGGGATCGCTCCAATAATTCAATCCGGAGAACTGCTCAGAACTGATCTTGATGAGGTGTGCAGTGGTGAAAGACTCGCCTACAATCTCAGCACGCGACCCACTGTCTCTGCATCAAAAGTGACTTTGTTGAATAGTTAGTACTAAATTATTGCGATGCTTTCTTCCAACCTTTTGCGTATGCAGCTGCAAACAATGACTTTTTTCTTTTTCGGGTCTTTTTTTCATAAGTGCTCGTATGTCTCAGGTAGGTGTCAGACTAGGCGGGTGCCCGTCGCGCAAACTATAAGAACAGTAACGACCCACGGTGCGTCACGTGGGCGCGATCCATTGGTCGTATTTGGCTCCGGACATCTGTCAACCGTGAGGCTAGGCAATTCAGCGTTTTGTTGTGCTGTCTGGGAGCTCTCACACAAGCGCACTATTACAGAATCTCCGCTTTCTTTACCTCCTTCAAAAGGCTTAGTCCCACTACCACAAAGAACGTCTGCTTTTCCTTCTACACTCTCACCCCCTGGTTGACAGAAGCCTTGTAACCGCCTAGATCCCATTGGCCATTGGAGCGAGACGCTTGTTGTACATTCTGCGGGGAAAATGGTCCGGGCCGCCGAGTATTCGCTGTATCCACTCCTGATGCCTTGATTATGGACAGTTACAGCTATCGCTTTTTTGGTAGGATCAGTGATGCTCATCGAGATTTCTTAAACCCAACTTATCAGATCGATCAACTGCTGAAAAGTGGGAGTTGAGTGACACAGACGAGTTGTACGGCCACAGCGGGATTTGGCAACTACGGCCTGCGCGCTCTAATGTCAACGTGTTCGCGCCATATGACCCGCTCCCACGACCCACCCCACTCACGATTCCGACATCGCCCTATCGAGAAGTTCAGAATGTCCGGCAACAAAGTTGTTTTTGAAGGATACGCAGCAAGAACACAATTTGTTAGGAAAACATGATCGATCGGTACTCAGACCAGGTACCAGACAGGAGTGCTGTGCCCCTCCTCCTATCAAGGGAATGCAGGTTAGTAATTATGAAATTTCTCTTTACCTGTTATCAAATATTAAGTTCTCCCCACAGATACGGCCCAAATCTCGAATGTCTGATTGGGCGTGTCTACCAGAAGACGTGGAGCAGAGTCAACCCTGCGTTGCGCAGTTCGCAACGGCACGTTGAGAGATCCTCAACGCACGCTGTATGGGCGGAGACACAGACGGCTCGAGCATGCGAGTGTGAATGTTCGCGCGAGAGAACGTGTCTAATCGGGCGAAACTGCGCAACGTGGCCGTTGAAAACTGCGCAACGCAGGGTTGACTCTGCCCAGCAGTGCTATCGTTATTTGGAGGGGGGGGGGACCAACGCGGCGGCGCGGCGCTCTGTTCGTCTGCTGCTCCAAGGGCTTAGTCCCAGGGGCAATCACTATTTCGCTGTCACGTGACAGCGCCATCGAGGACTAAGCCTTGCAGGAGGAGACGAACAGATCGCCGCGCAACTAACGATAAGATAGCACCGACGTGGCGGCCCTTGCACTTGATAGAAGTCGTATGGATAAGCTGTTTCTGAACACACTTCGCTAGATATCAGCAAAGCATGCTGGAAGCAGCTTATCCGCGCAACTTCTATCAAGTGCGGTGGCCGCCACGTCATTTCCGGTGACACGCCCAATCACTTCTAGATATGGACTGCAGGCGGGAGCAAGGTCGAATCGCTTCTGACTCAGACATCTGTCTGGGTGCTTCCATAGTCGGTCGTCAGATCGTAACGACCGTTTCGATCGCAAACGCCGCCGCAAGGGAGGCGACACGGTGATCGGGTGAAAATCCGAACAATTAGTGACTAACATAAGCGTCACGGTATTTCGCAAGTCCGTTGTTCAAGGGCCGTGTCCTATCTTTTCCCGTGGGGGACGCATCCCCCACTGCTGATCCGTTAACAGATTACTTGAACTTGGTCTTTAAACCGCTTCAATTTGATGCTCGTGCCTGCGTCTCTCGCCAAAACAGCGGCACACGACCGTTGTGGTGTCACGCATTCAAACTTTTGCCACACTGTAATTGGCTTACGCACCCCCTTCCATAGATTGCCCTCATTCCCCTGGCTCACGTATCTCCCGTCGGCAACGTGAGAATCGGCGCTGTTCTCAGATCTTCAGTGCTATATCCATTCGCGGCAGGAACATCGAGGAAAGTTAAAGAAGTCAATAAGCCCCGCCGATCTTATCCTATGGTTGGGGGAGACAGGGTTGCGTCATAGGACCAACCATACTCTGTGTTCTAGACTCCAGACAGCAACGCGACCCCTCCGAGAATATAGTGTTGCTACAACATCACGCGTTCTCTGGTGAGTCACGACGCAACCCTGTCTCTCCCCCCCCCCAATACAAAAAATGGCTATATGAAGGAATTACGTTCGAAAGCTGCTTTTTTAGAAATGGCCGAACAATTTCGAAAACCTCTTGAATGCGTTGAAGAAGTTGGAGAGCGCAGTGCGATTGTACTACGAGGAGGTGAGCAGGCGCACGAGGGCGTCGGTGGTGGCTTCATCGCAACGCACAATAGGCAGCGAGTTTCTCGAGTGTGGTTTACTAAGACTAACATTTTTCGCTGTAGGAACTCCAGGTCCACTCATGATCAGCGGTGGACCTGAGGTTCCCGCAGCGAAAAATGTTTCGCGCTGCAAAAAGCGAAAAAGTGAAAAACTCGCTTTCTGTCCTAGTGAACCACACCCGAGTTTTACTGCAGTTGCATACGTTTCACTCAATTAGTTGTCTGGAAGTTGGCCCAGTAAAGGCATCGCCTAATTTAGAGTGTGGTTCACCAGTGTTTCGCGCTGCGGAACGCGAAAAAGTCGCCTTCTGTCCTAGTGAACCACACCCCTGAATTCATCACCCTGTATATGTAAGCTGTTTAGGAAAGCAACTCAAGTCGTGGTGTTCAAGAAGCTGCCAATACAGTCGGAGCAGTATCCAGAGGAGTCCAAACAATTGTTGGTGAGCAAGAGATGTCGGGGTGAGTGGTAAGTTGGAAAACTCGAGGAAAAGACCACTATTTCAATGAAGGGGGGGGGAGGGAGGAACTTTTGGTATATTAGCTTGGCCTCCGCGCACTGCTGGAGGAGTTTTCAGACCTTCACCCCTCCTATCTTATGGTAAGACCCTGGTGGCTTCGGTAATTTTGCCCCCGTACCTCCTGGGTCTCATTCAGGTAACCAAATTCCGTCAAGTCCTTTCAATATGTCCCCGAATTGGCAAAACATTCAAACATTTCGAAAGCTCCCCTTCTAGCGTTTCCATACATATGCCTCCAATTTCATCAATTACAACCGCATTCCCGAAGATCGCCAAGTTTTATCACCCTGGTTGATTAGTAATGAACATTCCACGTCTCCTTAGCTCTCCTATGCGTGGCTCATTCAGACCATCATCTTCTCGGCTAGTAGCAGAGGTGCACAGAATGGAAATTGAAAGGGCGAAGATTCGAACATCAATCGAAAAAACAATCATGGAAAATGAGAAAAAGAGGGGACAACTTCTCGACGTGCAAACGCAGAATGCTTTGATGGAGCAAGCCATACTGAAGGCAAAGCTGAGGATGTTGAATCTTGATTGTGAGTATGTTTTTTCGTTCGTGTTTGATTGACTCTATTGAATATTTTTGTTCTCTGAGTAGGATGTGGTCACGGTTCACTTCATGGACAGAAAGCGACTTTTTCGCGTTTCGCAGCGCGAAACATTTTCGCTGCGGGAACCTCGGGTCCACTGATGATCAGCGGTGGACCTGAGGTTCCCGCAGCGAAAATGTTTCGCGCTGCGAAACGCGAAAAAGTCGCTTTCTGTCCTAGTGAACCACACCCCTCTGAGTACAGGGTAGATGTCAGACTTAGCGATTGGCTAGCGCTTTATGGGGTAGGAACGTTACGCCAGCGTACAGCAATACGCCATCATCGGTGATTCTTTGTGTTTGATGTCTCCAAGAAGCCAATTCTTGTCTCTAAGGAGCTGATACAGGTGCGCTGTTTTGGAAAAGCCAGTCAATGCTCGGTGTTTCTGAGGGTCAGCGCTCGGTGTGCGGAGGAGCAATCTTTGTTCGGGTTTTCGAGCCGTCAACTAGTGGTCGCAAAGGAATAACTGGCTTGATGTTTCAGTGTTCCGAGGCAGCCTTTACAAATCATCCGGCTTTCTTTTAGCGGGACATCGTACACAAAATACTTGAGTCGCTAGCGTATTGCTAAGTCCCTGGCGCGTTGCTCGCACCAGTGGAATCACCAGCATATCTCAGCCTTACATTGTCTAGGGCGTCATTTACATAATAAATAGTAATTCCAGTGAAGAACAATGGCTAAATTTGACCGCTTCTTGCCACGGCTTCCTTCTGGCTTCACTCGCTCTGCTTAATTCCGTTGAAGACGATGTTTTATAAATAATGAATCTTTATCAAAGTTTTCCTTGTAGTAATTTGTTATTATTTAGTTTGCTTTGCACTAACATGGAAACATTGTATGCTGTCCAGACTGAAGGTACACCTTATATTATGCGTTAACCTTGACATTATAATACGTATTACAGATCTCCTCATTGAAAGATTTTCCTGAAGCAGTTTTAGTTTCTCGTTTATTAAAGTACTGTATAAGCATTCCATTCAGAAACATTTATCATTTTTTCAACGGCTATGCATCATTTTCGCTTTTGATTTCCTCAGTTGAACTGTGAAGTTATATAAAGTTTTGTTTCACCACTTCCAATAAGGAAGCAGTCACCGCTGGCTTTCACGTCGAGCCTTCTAGCCTAGCTTTTATCAACCGACAAGGTGTGAGATAGCTACCCTCCCTTTCAAATAACAAAGAGGGCGTTAGAAGTTTTTGTTGAAATAGTTATAGTTATCGAATGTCAACTACACATGCGTTGTTTGATCGCGGACCAACTTTTAAAACAAGGGCCATGGGGGTAGCGATACTAAGGGACTAAATGCCAGAGGAAGAAGGAGAAACGCCAGAAAATTCAAATCGTCTCCTCAGAAGTCCCTTTCCGGCTTACTCGCTTCCTCCCTCCTTGAGATCGGGTCAGGCGGAATAATTGCGTCACTCGCTCCCAGAAGTTGGTAAGATTTGGTTAGCCCACTGCATCACTCGCTTTATACGGAATGGGAATTCCATGGCAAAAACGCACCCGCGACGAGCGTCGCAGAGTTGTCTGCAGCAGTTTGCCGTCGTGCCAGCGGTTGGACAAACATAAGGTGCCGTCGCGCCTAATTTTCCAGTGGAGTGGTCAGTCAGTAGCGACAAGTCAGACATACGCATTTTGATTGTTTACAAGCTTTTTGGTATCGCTGGCTAGAAGCAAGTCGTATTAAGTTACGGCGCGAGCGCGAAGGGAAAGCAAATTTGGTTGTTGGTCTGTTTGGGGCGGAGATGAGTTACGTGTGAGTGGATTTTTGATACTTGCCGTACTAATGCGGGCTGGAATAATAATAGTGCTTCCTGCCCTCGGCATTCATAGTAAGCTGTGCAGAGTAATACATTAAATATGATTGAAAACCGTGGAATTGCGTCAATTATTGGTTCTTCGACGCTGCAGGGTTTGTTGTCTCTAATAATGGTGACGTCTCATTTTTGCTCTCTTCTGTTATATGTTAAATTTCGTTGGCTGGGGTGATGGTGTGGTGTGTGCCGATCTTGTTCCTCCAGTCTAGCTGGGGGTAACTCTCGAAATATATTAACGTACACCATGTGAAGGATGATGTGCTGCCTCAGTGAGATCAAGTTCGGTTTATGAGGTGTATATCGACAAGTACGTGCCTCTATAATCATTGTTCCGCTGGAGTTCAGTTTGCAGTCTATATCTAAGTTTCTGTATCGTCATTCTGTGTGTGGTAGTGTGCTGGTTTGTTGTTGTGGTTTTTAGGTCGGGGTGGGGTGTGTCAGTTGGCCGAAAGAGCCTGTAATGATAAAGACAACCTTAGTTCATTAGCTTTAGTTGGTCTGACAGGGAGAGCATGGTTGTGCGTGGCTGACAGGTGCGAGAAGCCTTGGTGGCTCATGTAGAGATAGTTTCGGACGGCTCGGTGGATTGGTTTGTTGTTACGGTAGAAAATCCTTCAGAACATGTAAGCGTTCTCAAAGCGGTTTATTCATGTTGTAGGGACGGGCAGGGGTAGACGCAAGAACTGAGCGATCATTTTTTGGGTTTGGTTTTCGTTATAGCAGCTGTGGGAATAGCGTCATTAGTAACATGTGGTCTAACAAGAGTTTGATCCCCACTGAACAAATTTCCAGTTCCCGGTGGGCTCGCCCAGGTATGTGTTTATGCTGAACTTCAAGCAAAACTTTCCACCATGCCATCTGTTGAACGCCTACAAATGCTGTGAGAGTATATATTGAAAATGTGAAGTTTGATTTTTGAAGGTGAAGTTTTCTACCCTTTTTCTCAAGGTTTCAGGGCTGCTCAGAAAAAAATCATCAGTTTCATGATCCTCGCACATTCCCCTATGACATGCGACAAATCGTGTGACCGGAAAGCCACTCAACGCTAAGCGACTGGTGAGAAGCATGGCAGGAGAGAGAGCTCAGTGGCTCGGTTATTAGGTCCCTTACCAGGAATGTTTGAGGCGGTGCCAAGGTTGTCAAAACGGCTTTTTCCATAATGCTCAGAGGCCGGAGAACCACTAAACACGAGACGTTTTCCTAAACGGCCCAATGAATACCGGAAAAGGGGTGATGAAGGGGTCCATGGTTCGACTAGTCGCTATGACCAACTCTTGATTTTGAGTTGGTGTTTCAGAATTTGCGCAAAATAGTAGTGAATGGATGTCATGTGCGTAGTATGGCAACCCCCACAAGTAGCTCTTCACCAAAAAAACTGGTGATGGAATTCGTGATACCAAAACGGCACCAATGTGGCACCAAATGGCGTCATAGCGGCACCAGATGACTTCCGCGCCAAAACGACTGTCATATTCGTAGTCAAGGCCCAGGATAACCCCTATAACCGAAGTTTCAGAGAAAATAAGATTTCGACCCAATCTTCGAATAATTGGAACCATGAGTAAGTCAATCGCCTGTCAATAGCAGGTTGAATTTTGCTCTGCATCCGGCTAGGCCTCTTGTCGGTGGCTAAATCGGTTTAAAAGAACGCAACGAAGTGTGAGACGTGTCCTGTAGAGACAGAACCTCGGTTTCCGTGTTTATCACTAGAGGGTACCCCATTTTCCGCTCCGAGCTCGCCTCCAAGCCGTCCGGGGACACACGTCGGGTTGTCCCTACGGCCGGTTCAAGTGGAGTCAAAATCTCGATTTTCCCCAAAACTTCGGTGTTGGGGTTAGATCAGTGCCCTGATCACGGAGATGGCATTCCTTTTGGAGCCAAATTTGGCGCCATAACATGTTCCTCTAGTTGAAAAACTGAAAACTGAGAAAACTCCTCCTAACCTCATTGGGACGATTTCTCCGACATGTGACTCTGATCATGATATGAAGTCTTACAAGTACCAGTTGGCACTTAGCTGAGGTGCCAGCCAACAATAAGGCATGGTAAGGAGTCAAACCAACAACCTCTCCGGCGCCTTGCCAACTCGATTCTATCGCGCCATCACTAGGTACTGGGCCACACACAATTAGGGCACCGAAATCATTTATGAAACCATGACACTTTCTTCAGCACATAGCTTGGGCAAACGCATCATTTTGCCGAAGTTCGCGTTGTTTTCAATGTACGAATAGCGGGAACCCTTTAATATGACACAAGTCAACGTGTGGACGATATGCGCCACAATGAAAGCAGTAAAAACGACAGTTCCCAAGATGTTTTTTCGGCCGTTTTTTGGTATTCAGGGAGCCAATTAGCCAAAATGAGCCATATTTTTGTGGTTCCTGTGTAAAAACCGATTTGGAGGAGTTAGGCACGCCCTGAAAGACCTTCTTGGTTAACGGCGCGCTGAGAAGGGCCTTAGTGGCTTGGTCGCTTGAAAGATCCTTTGTGGCTCGGAGGAAGGGCCTCTGTGGTTCAACATAGGAATCGCGCCCCACACTTGGCTGCAGACCTCCACTCAGTGGTCTACTTGATCAAACGCAATTAAGGGTTGCTCCCAAGTTGCATTACAAGAATCCATCTTTTACACCGTACAACTAAACGAGACGGTCCACCCATTTAGGTTTGCGATGACTCTGATGCATCCATCACCAATCACTCATCATATAATTTTTCATAGCTTCGTAGGTTTTCTGCTGTGTGGTTCATCTTTCAAAGGTTTCCTGACAAAATGTTTCAAATTCCATTGCTTTCTCTAGGGAATTCTCAGGACAGTTCCCCATCTGCATTTAAATTCAAATTCATTGCTTCATAAATCGCAAATTCGAGCTGTAAGTAAATGTCATACTCTCTGTATTTGATCCCAAACGTTTAGTACAATCCCTTAGTTGCACATAACATTATTTCCAACAACTCTCAAGCTTGAGCCTACTGCTGTGATCACGAGTAAAGGCAAAAGCGCGCCCACGCGTCCGATTGCGTTGAGGTAGCGATAGCGCTTGATCGCTCATCGGAGGTCGAGATCACTATCGTGCGATATAAGTACCAGAGCTTTTCATAGGGCTATCTTTGATCGCTTGTTGCCTCGGTTTGGAACAGCTTGATGGAAAGCTCTTCGAATGCTCGGGGTGCTTATATTCTCGAAGAACTTTAATACTCATTCAAAAAAATTAAGAACCCAGCAGCACATATGATTTGTTTATACTTAAGCCGAAGTTAACATTTGATTATTGGCAAAATGCATAATTATGATACAGGGAAAAATGGCAGTTATGAAGAAAAAGAAAATACCCTTAATGTGACATGAGAAGAGCACTGGACAATGAAATGC